CAAGACAAATATTTTTTCATGTTAAAGTCCTGATAGGAGACTTTGCTTTGTAGATTTAGGCATCAGGGAAGAATTTCCACATCAGAAATGCCAGCCATTTTCCCATTTTCCTACAAGAAAGAATATTATGTACAGATCTTAATAATTCAGTTCACTGAAATTTTTCTGATTCTCCTTCCTCCTATTTTAAAAAGTTTCACGTAGTAACCATGGAAAAAGAAAAAGGCACGTATTGATAATCTGAGATTGGTGATTTTTTTTTTTTAAAAAAGAATTAGTATGTCAAAAGCATATGCTGTGCCTCATGGCCAATATGGAAATGTCAGGGGTTTAATTGGCAGCTGTGAATAGCAGCACCTGCAAACAGCTCAGGGCTTGTTCCTGTGGTCTGGCAACATTCTTACTTTATGCTTTAAATAAAGGCTTACTCACTGGGACAGAAATAACTGACAATGGATGATTGATGATTGCCCATCGCGCAATGGCTGACATCTACCATTCACCAGGTCTGTTTACGAGCGCACGCCCAAATTTCATTAACAGGGGCATGACATCCAGGAGTGGGCCTGCCACAGATGGCCAGTCAGTAATCTAGTTCAAAACACCTAGAAGCGACCAAGATTTGTTAATCTGGAAAAATAGATGGTTGCAGATTCAGAATGCCTTAGGAAGATGATTTTCAAAATTCCCCTTTCTTTTTTTTCTGCTTGTGTTCTTTTGTTTTGTCAATGTGTTTGGTTTCAAGTTCAATGTCAGGTTACATTTCACTGATTCTTATTCCATACTGACTCTGCATTTGAAAGATGCGATGGCAGAAAGAGGTATACAGGGAGTTATATTTCTAATCATTAATTTGTAACACTAACGTCTGGGGGACTAGTCAAGCTTTGAGTATAGTCAATTTGCTATTTCAATTAGGGGGGCAAGAAAAGTGCAAAGAAATAAACCACAGTGCATATATATGGCTAACGTGAATTTTCACACCTGGACATTCGTCAGCCTACAGTGCACCTCCAGGTACAGCCAAAAAACACATCAGCAAATGTGGTATACTGCACATTTTCAAATAGCAAACCTTTCCAAATAAACACTGCTAAATTAAAGCAGCTTTGCACTCTTCAATAAAACAGCCCATAGTATCTTGGGCTGACATGTTGTAGTATGAGACTAACAGTGTTACTTTTCTTCTTCCTGTTTCTCCTTCCTGTTTCTCCTTCCCAAGGTCTCTTTTTCCCAGCTACAGTGCTTTGTGGTACACATATACCTTGATTATTATTTTTCTCCAGTTAAGGAATAATCTCCTCTGATGCACTTACAAACCTTTTCATGGTTAGTGACTGGACCATGGGTTGGTTTGTTTGTTTGCTTGTTGGTGGGTTTTATTTTTGACCTACCTTTTGTACAGTGACAGTTCCTACATCCTGTTTGGGAAACGTGATGTCTTTGTCTTAAGTAATGAGGTCTTCCCCTAGAATTTTGCTCATTGCCTTTTCAACCACTTGGGAACCTATTTCTACAAATAGTTGTATTCTAGACATTTCACTAGCAAAACTTGAATAAAGTAGCCTATTTGTTTTTAGCCCTTTCTGAGTCTTACTGTATTCTCCTGAGGAAAATGGGGCAGGGATCATTTTCCTGTCATTTCAGTGCGAGAAAAGCTATACCAAGAGAAGTCGAGCAACTGGAACCACATCCCACAACTTTAGCTAGTACAAGAGCCTCTACAAGCATCCAGGACTCACATGTGGCACTTGAGGGATCTTTCCACGGGGCTGTTTGGGTGTGAGGACTGGATGGCATAGATCACCTGCTTATTGGGGTCCTCAATGAATGTGCAACCACAGCCAGAGAATGGCTGCCCTGCCAAAGTCCTAATTCAATCCCAGTGTGCGTAGCAGTGAACAAAATGGAGTCCCTAGCATGTGCCAAAGGGCATGCTCTTTGCCATTCAGAACATTACTGCAAAATAAGAACAGTCTGCCTTGCCTCTGAAATTGCTACCTTTGAATATGCATCCATCTTGGCTTTCTAAGTACTTTTTGTTTTGTTCTGTTTTGCTGTACAATCTGCTGTCTCTCCTTTTGTTTAATTGCATTCAGTTTTACAATTTCTCCCAGGAAAAGCAGCTAATTATAATATATTTTAGCACAGAGAGAGGCAGGTGTTAGAAAAGATGTAAGAGTCCTAATTTTAGTCTTGATAATTCATGCAGTTTAGCTGGATCTCAATGTAAAGTCATCAGCCTGGGTGTGTGATCTCATCATTTTAGGCTTTCTGAAATTTGCATGGGATCATGTGACTACAGATTTGCACTTTGAGCTTGTAAATGACAAAGTGATGGCAATAATTGAAATGGTTGAGTTGTAATCTTGTGTCCAAGGAAATATGGTCCAATGGTAAATCCAAATAAATTGAACATGGGAAGTGCATTTGGATAAGATCTTTTGGATAAGCAGCCAGACTCCTTGGGGTTGAACCCTGTCGGTACATTTACTATCTGTGTGACCTTGGGCAAGTCATTTAAACTCTCTGTGCTTCTGTTTCTTTATCTAAAAATTTAGGATAGGCCTGGTGTGGTGGCTCACGCCTGTAATCCCAGCACTTTGGGAGGCTGAGGCGGGCGGATCACGAGGTCAGGAGATCAAGAGCATCCTGGCTAACACGGTGAAACCCCGTCTCTACTAAATATACAAAAAATTAGCCGGGCATGGTGGTGGGTGCCTGTAGTCCCAGCTACTTGGGAGGCTGAGGCAGGAGAATGGCATGAACCCAGGAGGCAGAGCTTGCAGTGAGCCGAGATCGTGCCACTGCACTCCACCTGGGCAACACAGCGAGACTCCGTCTCAAAAAAAAAAAAAAAAAAAAGGATAGTGTCAGTATATATCTGTAGGTCATTGTGGGGATTAAATGAGGTAAGTTATGTAGAACTCATCACAATACCTGGGTCATAGCTAGGTATCCACATTCTTATTTTCAGGGAATAATTGTATTGCAAAAGCCTAAGATTTTTGGAACAACAGCAACAGCAGCAAAGGCAGAAATTACAGAAATATCCAGAAGCAAATTCTCCTCTAACAAATATTGGCATTTTAGAACATATCTGAAACAAATGTTTGCTTTTGAGATGAGTAGGTTCCCCAGTACTGAGATCATCTTCGTTTCCATGGACATGGCATTTACAGTCAAAATATCCAATTATATCCGTGGTAATACTCCTCTGGTTCTTCTGATGTGTTTGTGTGTGTCTCTGTGTGTGCTTTTGTGCATGTAGGACTTCCTTTCAGGGTCAGAGATAGTAGGGGGCAGTGTCATGTAGACCAAACAACCAAACGACTTACTGAATTTTTTTCATCCCTACTGGTTGTTTTAGGTAGGGACAGCTCTGGCCCAACTCTGTTGACTGTAGCTTCTGAGCTGTTCTCACAGGGCCTACAGAGGAGTTACTGATTGTTTTCCCAGGAATCTGCCAAGTGCGGTGGTGTATGATGGAACATGCCGCTTCCCTATCTCTGGAATCTGAGTATGAGTTGAGAACAATGATCATATCTGCTAATGAGTAATTAAAAACAATTTCAAGACTGCCTCTAACCTCTGCATTTGTGAACGCCACCCTTCCTTAAATGCTATACCGAGGTTCTTTGCTGAGGCTCAAAGTCTTCCATTCCTCTTTCTGACTCCAAATTCAATCAATCAAGTCTTCCTTTCTAGTAGTTCTCATATTTATTTTATTCACTCTTTCTTCACTTCCCTAGTTAAGATCCACATTGTCTTTCATTTGGACTATATAATGACCACCCATAGAGCTTTCCTGATTCTAATCTCTCTCCCTTGAAATCCCTAATCCAGCCTCCAAAGTGCCTCTAGAGTAATCTTTTTTAAATCACAAACTTTTTTCATGGTTCACCATTGCCCAGAGAATGAAAGCCAAGTTTCTTTGTATTGCACAAAAGGCTTTGCATGATTTAGTTCCTGACAGCATGGCCAGCCTCATCTCCCTCTTCTTGCTGCCTGCGTTCTAACTACACAAAGCTGTTTGAAGTTTTATATCTCTGTCTTCCCTTTTTCTCTCTCTGGTGTTTCATTCTTTAATGCTCTCCTAAATATTATTTCCTATGTACAAATCATCTTCCTTTTGTGACTCTTAGCATGCTTCTATTAATATTTTAAGATTTGCTCATGCCTGTAATCCCAGCACTTTGGCAGGCCAAGGTGGGTGGATCACAAGGTCAGGAGTTCAAGACCCTCCTGGCCAACATGGTGAAACCCCATCTCTATTAAAAACACAAAAATTGCTGCGTGCCTGTAATCCCAGCTACTCATGAGGCTGAGGCAGAAGAATTGCTTAAACCCAGGAGGCGGAGGTTGTAGTGAGCCGAGATCGCACCACTGCACTCCAGCCTGGCGACACAGCAAGACTCCATCTCAAAAAAAAAAAAAAAAAAAAAAAAAATTTTTTTTTGGTTTTACCTTTTCCTTGACTTCTACAGAAAAAAAAAATGTCATTCCTTCCTCTGGGCTATTTTTGTACAGATACAAGTAAGATTTGTACACTGTATAGTGTTTGCTTGCTTGTTTTACATCTGTTTCCTTTACTGCATAGTACGTCTTTGAATGTGGGACCATTTCATTCATTTTTATTTCTACCATCATTATCATGGCCTTTAGGTACAAGGTAGATATCCAATGTGCATTGTGAACAGTTATTAATAGTTTTGTAGTAATTCAAAGATTCATCTAGACAACTATATATAACATTGGATAAGAATTGAAAGTTCTGGCTTGGGCAAATGAAGCATTTATTGAGAAACATGCCTTAAATTGAAATAACTCTTCATCTGATGCCTTTGACGATGCAACCCAGGCAAATATTTGCTTACTATTCTCACAAATTCTATAACTCATCAAACTTAATTAAATGGTTAGAATCTGACAATTTTGCGCCAATCTTGACCATGCGTTCTGTTTTAACGAGCGGGCTCGGAGGTGCTCCAGCTGCTGTCATGGTTCGTTTGCTAAACTGCATCGTCGCTGTGTCCCAGAACATGGGCATCGGCAAGAACAGGGACCTGCCCTGGCCACTGCTCAGGAATGAATTCAGATATTTCCAGAGAATGACCACAACCTCTTCAGTAGAAGGTAAACACAATCTGGTGATTATGGGTAAGAAGACTTGGTTCTCCATTCCTGAGAAGAATTGACCTTTAAAGGGTAGAATTAATTTAGTTCTCAGCAGAGAACCCAAGGAACCTCCACAAGGAGCTCATTTTCTTGCCAGAAGTCTGGATGATGCCTTAAAACTTACTGAACAACCAGAATTAGTAAATAAAGTAGACATGATTTGGATAGTTGGTGGCAGTTCTGTTTATAAGGAAGCCATGAATCACCCAGGCCATCTTAAACTATTTGTGACAAGGATCATGCAAGACTTTGAAAGTGACACCTTTCTTCCAGAAGTTGATTTGGAGAAATATAAACTTCTACCAGAATACCTAGGTGTTCTCTCTGATGTCCAAGAGGAGAAAGGCATTAAGTACAGATTTGAAGTATATGAGAAGAATGATTAATATGAAGGTGTTTTCTGGTTTAAATTGTTCCCCCTCCCTCTCAAAAAAGTATGTATTTTTACATTAGAAAAAAAGTATTTTGTTGACTTTAGATCTATAATTATTTCTAAGCCACTTGTTTTTATTCCCCACTTGACTCTATCAGACACCACTTATGAAACATTCTTGCTATAAATAAGTGCTTCTCCAAGACCCCGACTGAGTCCCCAGCACCTGCTACAGTGAGCTGCCTTTCCACACCCATCACATGTGACACTCTTGCCAGTCCTTGACATTGTCGGGCTTTTCAAATGTTGGCAATATTTATTAAAGGTGAAGATCCACATACCCTTCAACTGAGCAGTTTCGCTAGTGGAAATACCAAAAGCTTCCTACGTGTATATCCAGAGGTTTGTAGATAAATGTTGCAGCCTTGTTTGTAACAGTGAAAAATTGAAAACAACCTGGAAGTCCAGGGATGGGAAAATGAGTATGTTTCTGTCTTAGATTGGGGAACCCAAAGTAGATTCCAAGACTGAAATTTCAGTGAAAGCAGTTTATTTGCTAGGTCATACCAGAAACCATCGGTTGAGGTATGGAAAAACTGAACTGAGAAGGTAAGAAAACCAGTTTAAAGTCAGCAAGCAGGTTCTCACTGGTAACAAGTTCCATACTGCTGAGATACAGGGAAATGGAGGGGAGAAAACTGGAGTATTGATTCCTCTCTCTCCTTGGTTGTCAGCTCCCTGTCCTGTGTGTGGGCGGAATGTACTCCAGCTGCTCTATAGTAAGTCCCAGGTGTTTGCAGTAAGAAGCTCCTGGCATGCATGGGAACAGCGAATGCCAAACACTTAAAGCAATTCCATGTTTAAATATGTAAGTGCTCCATATATATACACACACACACACACACACACACATATATATATATTTTTTTTTAGACAGTTTCGCTCTTGTTGACCAGGCTGGAGTGCAGTGGTGCAATCTCAGCTCACTGCAACCTCCGCCTTCCCAAATTCAAGCAATTCTCCTGCCTCAGGCTCCCAAGTAGCTGGGACTAGGTGCATGCCACCATGCCCAGATACATTTTTGTATTTTGTGTTTTTGGTAGAGATGGGATTTCACCATGTTGGTAAGGCTGGTCTCAAACTCCTGACCTCAAGTGATTCGCCCACCTCAGCTTCCCAAAGTGCTAGGATTATGGGCATGAGCCACCACACCTGGCACATCTTCATTCTTTTTGTGTAGTAAAAAGAATAAAACCACACATAGTTTATTTGAAATATTCTATAATTTAAAAAAATACAGAAGCAGGAAAACCCATTCTAAGTTCAAGTGAGGGATGATGGTTGCTTGAACCAAAGGGTTGCATGTAGTAAGAAATTGTGATTTAAGATATATTTTAAAGTTGTAAGTAGCAGGATATTCTGATGGAGTTTGACTTTGGTTTTGGGCCCACTGAGTTTGAGATGCCTTTGAGAAATGAAGGAAGTAGAGAGAGAATAAAAGAAAAACTAGCTGGGCACAGTGGCTCACACCTGTAATCCTAGCACTTTGGGAGGCCAAGGCAGATGGATCACTTGAGACCAGTTTGGGCAGCATGGCGGGGCCCCGTCTCTACAAAAAACACAAAAATTAGCTGGGCATTGTGGCGCACACCTGTATTCCCATCTACTCAGGGAGCTGAGATGGAAGGATCAATTGAGCCCATGAGTCCAAGGCTGCAGTGAGTCGTAATTGTGCCACTGCACTCCAGCCTGGGTGACAGAAGAGACCTTGTCTTGAAAAGGAATCTGAAAACAATGGAACCGTGCCTTCAGAATTCTAGAAAGTTATTTTCAACTGATAAATCTATATTCACTCAAATAAGCAAGGGTGAAGGTAAAATACATTTTTAGACAAGCAAAGACTCAGGGGTTGCCTCCATGTACCCTTTTTTGGGAAGCTATTGGAGAAAATACTCCAGAAAGTGAAGGAGTACACAAACCAGAGAATGACATAGATCCAGCAAATAGGATCCAACACAGGCAATATTCCAGCTATGGAGCTGACTTTAAAAAGAAACAGTAAAAATATTAATAGGTTAGCTGGGTGGAATGGCCCATGCCTGTAGTCCCAGCTACTCAGGAGGCTCAGCAAGAGGATGGCTTGAGCCCAAGAGTTCCAGACAAGCCTGGCTACCTTAGTGAGATCCCTTCTTTTAAAAATAATACATTATTGCTAAATTTGGGGCATTTGGAAAGAAGTTCATTGAAGATAAAGCAAAAGTAAAAAAATAAGGGGGAAGGGTTGGTTAGGCAATCATTAATTCTAGGGCAGAAAGAAGTACAGGATAGGAAGAGCATAATATGCTGTTTTTCTCAACAAGGAGCAATACATACACAGTCATAATGATGTGGTGACTGCTTAGCCCCAAAATACGGTAACCACTTTGGGACAATATGGGAGGAAGTGAAGATAGTGATGGTGTAAGAGCTAAATCCTCACCTGTCATATCCAGAAATCACTATATAATGTATAAAATAATCAAGAAATGACTAAGTAGTTATGTGAGGAAAAAAACAGAGGACATTGCTGGAAGAGTTAGAAGTCATTGCTCTGGAGAATTAGGAGGGATGGGGCAGGGGACTGTTAGGATGCATTATAAACTGAAGAGGCTTTTAAAATTTTATGTATTAATATATGCATTCACTTGAAAAACTAAAAAAGTAACAATTTGGAAAACCCCATGAAGGTAACTAACAGAAGGAAAAACTAAGAGAATGAAAAGTGTTTACCTCTGGAAAGAACAGCTGGCAGGACTGTTGTTTTCATTGTAAGACTTTTGGAGCCATTTAATTGTACTTAACCATTTTAATCTATTTCTTGCATAAGAACAATTCTATCTTAATAAAGAGTTACACTTGTTCATAAAAAAAAATAGTTAGAATCTTATCCTTTTAATTAGTGCTTGCACTTGAAAACTTTAAAAATAATGTCAATAATGACTAATAAGCTTTGAGCTTTTTGGTTTACGTGGTTCAGTCTCTAATTGTTGGGAGATTGCTATAGTCCTATCCTTTTGCAACACTGTGTATTTTGTATGAAAGTGACTTTTCCTCTTATTTCAGAGGGAGGAGAACATTCAAAACAATTACTAAGGAGAGAATATCTAAAATAATTAGGGAACAAACTTTGAGGACTCAAGAACAAGCACATGTCATCACCTCTCAAGATGGGCATATCTGGAAGGCCTGTGTTTTTCTTATTGCTGCAGTGGGGGACCCATGTCCTCCACACCCAAGCCTCTTAAAGCTTATAGAGTAGAAAATTCCTCGCAATTTTCATTAAGAACCATTATATCAAGGGAACCATCATTCAGCTATAACAGATTGCTTTGCAGTGTAATGTTTTTCATCTTGAGGCAAATGTTTCTTCAATCATTTTTTTAAAGGGAGAAAGTAAGTAGTTATTTTGAATGCATGTAAAATGCAAATAAAGTGACTATGGATGTTTGGGGAGCTCATACAATAGTAAGTCCAAAACAACTTTGATTTAAAAATTGAACATTGGCAAGTGATCAATCAACACTGGCCTCTAATTGCTTTTAGTGTCTTGACTAAATAAAAATGTTATTTTAGTGGCAGAGACATTTCACCTTGAAAAGTGGCCATGGAGCATGCACAATGACTACAAGGATGTTTTCCCCAGAATACATAATCCACACCCTCAGCTTCATGCACATGCTGGATACTGCCTGCCTGTGATTGACATAAGGCATTTTAATTTAAAAATGTTTTTCAAAGTGCCTAAACATATGTTTATTCACTAGAGCTATTGAGTAATATTACATAGAAATGCAAAATCTTGAAAGGAAGGTTGACTCTGTGCAGGGCCACACAATGGAATATAATGGAAACCAGAAAAGGAGAGGACTTGAGTCATTTTGTAGGCGAGGCAAAAAAAAAAGAAAAGAAATCCTTTGACAATTCAGTCATGTTAAAATTGGGAGACAATACTGACATGAGAAATACAGTTGATGTTAAGACAGTAGAGTCCTTCTTCATCATTGCAGGTCTAGGACAGCTCTTACAGCTATGTCTGCCCTCTCACAGGGTGATATGTGGCTCTCCTTAGAGGGTGGTATGAGCTCCGAAGAGAACATCAGTGCAGGATCTTAGTTAATTTCCTTTTGCCCAGGTATCTGTGTCATAGTGATTTTAAATTTTCTAGGAGACAGCTTAATGGTGAGAGCCTTAGCTACACAACACTGCAACTCACCAAACCTCAAGGCAAAGTGCTCACCCAACAGAGAATGTATGTGGTCCCTTCCTGGTAGAGCCTTTGTGCCAGAATCCAGCCTTATACACCTGCACCACCCTTTCTGTCCCAGAAGGGCCTTCACCAACTTGCATGATGTGGTGTGCTTGGCCACGACTGTTTGTTGTGGTGTGTGCTAGGTGTTCAACTGTTCAAAACAAATAAAGATTCAGCTCTCCTCCCAGTGTCCTGTGGGAGTGGTAGTGACAGATATTGGATGGTTCTAAATACAGATATCAGAATGTCTAAAATAAGATGCATAGAATATGATCCAAGTGAGATGCAGCGCTTCAACCATATAGCCTGTGCCCCAATTATTTATGGCAAATAATGAGCTAGATCTGATCTAGCTCCTCTTCCAGAGGCAATATAGTCCATTTCTTTTCTTTTACTTTTACTTTTTTTTTTTTTTTTTTGGAGATGGAGCCTTGCTCTGTCCCCCAGGCTAGAGTGCAGTGACAAGATCTTGATCTCAGCTAACTGCAACCTCCACCTCCAGGGTTCAAGCGATTCTCCTACCTCAGCCTCCCAAATAGCTGGGATTACAGGCACATACCACCATATCCAGCTAATTTTTAATTTTTTTTTAGTAGACAGGGTTTCACCATGTTGGCCAGACTGGTCTTGAACTCCTTGCCTCAGGTGATCTGCCCACTTCAACTTCCCAAAGTGCTGGGATTACAGGCATGAGCCACTGCGCCTGACCAATACAGTTAATTTATTATGAACTCCTGTGACATTGATGATTTGTCTATATCAGTGGTTCCCAATTAAACTGACAGGAGCCTGGCACTGTGATGGCCTGGGGAGAAGGGTGGCAAAAATAATCCAGTATTGCAATTCTGCTATCAGCTAATGGGGCTTCTTTTGCTGAAACCTTGGATTTTTAATAGCAGTGATAGCCTCTGAGAATCACCTTGGGGTTTGGGGGGAAGTAAAGTTGAAAAACGACTCTTGGATACTAAACTTGTTTAGGGCAGGAGTATGGTTTGCTATAACTTCATTGAGGATGGGAATATTTGGTCAGAAACAACACTTTACTATACCTCCATTGAGC